TCACCATAATCATTTATCAGGGCCAATTCCTTCAGCGCTCGGCAATCTTACGCATTTGCAATCATTACAATTAGGAGATAACCATCTCAGTGGTCCATTACCCAAAAATTTATGCAGGGGTGGACAACTCGCAAATCTTTCGGCTTTCAACAACAATTTGACGGGTCTTATCCCACCAACTTTGAAAACTTGCAAAAGCTTATTCAGAGTTAGGCTTGAAGGAAACCAGTTGACAGGAAATATATCAGAAGCTTTTGGTATATATCCTAATTTGAATTATATTGCATTAAGCAACAACAAATTTTATGGCGAACTTTCGCCAAACTGGGGCAATGCCATAGTCTAACAAGCCTACGGATCTCCAATAATAACATTTCTGGAAAGATACCACCTGAGCTGAAGCATGCAACTCAATTACACGAACTCGATGTCTCTTCAAATCATCTCATTGGTGAGATTCCCAAGGAATTGAGAGCGTTGACATTGATGTACAAACTTTTGCTAAGTGGTAACCAACTTTCAGGCAAAATTCCACCAGAGATTGGAGTTCTTTCAAATCTACAATATCTTAACTTGGCATCAAACAATTTGAGTGACCGATTCCTAATCAACTTGGAGAGTGCTCAAAGTTATTGGACCTGAAATTTGAGCAAGAATAAACTTGGAGAAAGCATTCCATTTTCAGTAAGCTACAATAAATGGCCTTCAAAATCTAGATTTTAAGTCAGAATTTACTTATTGGGAAGATACCACAGGAGCTTGCAAAATTACATTCCTTGGAAATATTGGACCTTTCGCACAATATGCTGAATGGTTCCATCCCAAATTCTTTTAATGATTTGGAAAGCTTGACTGTTGTGAATATATCTTACAATCAATTAGAAGGCCCTATTCCTAACATTAAGGCATTTCATGAGGCTTCATTTGATGCCTTAAGAAGCAATAAGGGACTATGTGGTAATGCCACTGGACTAATGCCTTGTGCTGTCGCTGCTACTAGCGACGGTCATAGAAAAAGCAGCAAAGTCATCATTTTCATTGTACTTCCACTCTTTGGTCTTCTTCTTTTGCTCTTTGTCATGGCTGGAAGTTTCCTTATTCTTTGCCAAAAGAACCAAACCAGAAAATCCGAGTCAATCGAGCACAATTTGGAGATTTTTTCACATTGTGGGGATATAATGGAAGAATACTCTATGAGAACATTATTGAAGCCACTGAAGATTTCAGCTCCAACAATTGCATTGGTTCAGGAGGCTATGGAGCTGTTTATAAAGCTGCGCTACCCATTGGGGAGGTGGTTGCTGTGAAGAAACTTCACCAATCTGAAGATAGCATGATCTCCAACAACTTGAAAGCCTTTGAAAGCGAGATTCATGCTTTATCAGAAATAAGGCATCGTAACATTGTGAAGCTGTATGGCTTTTGTCCAATCCAAAGAACTCATTTTTGGTTTATGAGTTTGTAGAAAGGGGAAGTTTGCGAATGGTGTTAAGCAACAAGGACGAAGCAATGGAGTTGGATTGGGAGAAGAGGCTAATGTTGTAAAGGAGTGGCAAATGCCTTGTCTTATATGCATCATGACCATTCACCACCTATAATTCATCGAGACATTTCCAGCAACAATGTTCTTTTGGATTTGGACTTTGAGGCTCATGTCTCAGATTCGGCACAGTTAGGCTTTTAAAGCTTGACTCTTCTAATTGGACCTCACTTGTTGGTACTTTTGGGTACATAGCTCCAGGTATTTATTGATATCTTTTTTTAAGATACTTTAAACATGTCATCATTCAATTAAAAGTGTTAGTTTGTTTGCAAATTGACGCATTAAAACAAAGTTCAATTAGTATCACGATTGTAACTTTTCAAATTTTAAGTATCAAATAAGAATTTTACTATAATTCAAGTATCGAATGTATAATTAATCTTTGAAGTTTAACACTTAATTTTTCAATATTCAATATATCTAACGATGAACTAAATGTAAAATTTTGTTAGAACCTATCAATTTCAATTTTCAAGTAATATTCTAAACATTTACAATTTCTTTTCAACATTATTTTATAATCTTCTCAATATTCTTTATTCTTACATAATAGTGAATTGATAAAATAAATTTCTTGCTTAATAGACCACATTGATTAAATATATTTTTTTAAGCAGAGTTGGCTTATACATCGAAAGTAGATGAGAGATGTGATGTTTACAGTTTTGGAGTGCTAACAATGGAAATATTTATGGGGAGGCATCCTGTTGATTTGATTTCATGTTTACCATCGTCGTCGTCATCAGCATCAACATCGACATTGGTACCAAATGAGAACCAACAGATTTTACTTAAAGATGTGATAGACCAACGTCTTTCACCACCGGTAAGACAAGTTGCAAAGGATGTTGTCTCTACCACAAAGCTAGCACTTGCATGCTTGAATGGCAATCACCAACTTCGGCCAACCATGCGACAAGTCACTCAAGCCCTTACTCGTCAATCGCTTCCATTGCCCAATCCATTCTCAATCATAAAATTGGGAGAATTGTGGGATCATGAAGTTTGCAAGGGCTAATATTAAGGTGCTAATAATTTGAATAATAATTCTAAGCACGTGTATTTACTTTCAATTTATTTTTTTTCTCCTTTGTATTGAAAATGTTTAAGCACTTTTATAATAAAGCTTTTGTAGTGAATCGGCTGTAATATAGAATATCTGCGTTTAAACACTCAATTTGTATGTTTAAAATTCCCTATTTCTAAAATGTAATTAATGGTTAGTCGTAAAATTTCAGACTTTCAATATCAATTGTGATATTCTCTTGTAGTACCAATTTGCTATAGTACTTTTGCTTTGGAATGCTACAGCAATTTTAATATCACTTTTTTATTTGTTTGAATAAACAAAGAATACAATTGATGAGTACACCAAACTACAATAAACACAACTTCACACAATAATCTTTTGATTTTACTATTTACTGACCATTTATTCTTATACACATTATTTCCCACAATTTCATCTTTCTAACTTTTCTTCATTCCCTACCTTTTAAATCACTCAAAATTTAATTGTAATTGTATTGAGTACACTTAAAATGGATTTGAGTGATGATTTTAAACAATATAACTTCAATTTGCACTTTTTTTTTACTAAAATGCTAAAAAATGTTGTAGTTTTCTCAAATTTCTCAAATAAACTTTTATCTTTTTTTTTAATCCAATTAAAAGCATAAAACATTACTTTTATTAAATTAAGTCTTATTTTATATGAAAACCATTAAAATTCACTATTTTTACCACGTCAATTAAATAATTGTTTTTTTTAAATCAATGTCTGCTTTACAAAATATAAATATTTAAGTTGAATTACTGTTTACATAAATATGTAATGAATGGCTCATATAATAGGCCACATTAGCATCCAAAGAGCTTTTTTATTTTCAAATATATGTTATGTAAATGTTGGCATCATAGAAAGAATTACAACATCTACGTTGATCTGACAAGAAATAATTTTTCTTTTTTTACAATTTTCATCGAAAAAAAAAAAAGCTTAACGGAACAAAATTATACTTTAAAGATTTAATTAGACAAAAATAATAGAAGAATGGAGGCTTATGTGAAAAATTCAAAGGCTTATCATCACAAAATATTTTTCATTTTTAATATTTAATTAAAGCTGGGGCTTGACTGTAATTAAATATAATCTAAACTTTCAATAATAATATATAGCCAACAAAATACAAAACGTAATTATTAACAAAAATACAAAACATTTTTCTTCCAAACTAAAATTATAGTTGAATTTAGTCCAACACCTTTTTAAATTAAATATCAATGACTTTTCATAACTTTTTCCCCATTTTTTTATATAATATGGTGAAGGGTGCTCTTGTTTTATTTATTTGGAGAAACGATAGGCTTTGAATAAAATTAATTGCAAAAAAAAAAAAAAGCTAATTCCACCTATAATTTTTATTGCAGTTTTGTAATTAGCCAATTTAAAAAATTATATAAAAGTCCACCTTTTAAAAGTGTGGGTTCTACGCAATTTTTTTATGAACTCTACACAATACTAAAAAAATTATATATATTTTAAAATTATTATGGTAATTTTTTAATTATACAAATTATTTTAAAGTTGTTATATCCATTTAATATTTGGATTATTATTTTATACAGTATTTTTTTAAAAATCATTATAGCTATTAAATAATTAATCAATTTGTTAATTTTTTTATAAATATACTCTAGTAAGACAAGTGTTAATTTTTTAAAAAACTTTGTTAATCAATATAATCGCAGGTATCCTGTCAACCTCCAGTGCTATTCCAGTTTCAAAACCCAACCTTGAAATCATGATCATTAAACAGCTTACATGAATTAGAAAACAAGTACCTGGGTTGATCTGAGTGTGAAGAACTATTGAGCATCATTCCACTCGAGGAAGGTTTGTCTGTATCACAATCAGAAACAGGCTCTATTCCTATGCTTCCTTTGTGTTTTGCTAACACAGAGTAAGTCTCCCTCTTGCTTGCTAGGCATCGAGCTACCATCATTAGGAGCCGACTCCAACAAACTTTTTCAAATGTTCTAGTAACTTATTTTGCATCACTCCAAACACTTGTTCCATCTTGACATCAAATTTCTTCTCCATCTATGCATCGATCTGCTAAATTTCATTCTAAAGCTTAGCGATTTCCTCTTCATTTTTTTGGATTTCCTCTTGCATCCTAGTAGAGACTCCATCCGCCATGATTGGCAAGTCGATGCTTTGATACCAAAACGACACAGCTTAAATTTCCAAAATAACGACAACAAATAGGTCGCAAAAGAAAAAAAAGAAGAGATAGAAGGAGAAAGAGAAAAGAAGTAAGAATTCTAGAAAAGAGAATAACTGCTGATATTTCTTGACAAAATCATATACAATGCTCCTTTTCATCATTTGTAATTCTTAGCAGAATACTCAACATAAATGTAATCCGTAAACATCGGATATTGCAGGTCATAATTCTCTCTTTCCTCGTCTAGTATAACAATAATAACATATTTCATAAAAGAAACAAATAAAACTAAATAGCCTGTAACACATATAGCCTACCAACATGGCTCTCATTTATTCATTTAAGCCCAAGTTCCAGTCCAATAACCCTTATAGCCTGCAATAGAAAGTAATTAAATAACAATAAGTTGATATTCACTTTTAGATCAAGTCGTTCCAAACTTTAACTTGAAAAATTGGTTTAATTTCAATAAACATTTGTTTATATAGTAAATTGGTACATGAATATATAATTGAATATTGGTTTAGTTATGAATATATATATATATGTACAATCTACAGATATTGTAACTTAATACCTCCATAGTAAATGACTATAATTTTTTTAAACAAATTAAAACATGTTTGGCATATTAAAATAAAATAGATATTTCAGTATTCAACAAATAAAAGTAATTAAAAGTTTAAACAATAATATTCTTGTTATTAGATTTATAAAGAGATAATAGTAATGATGATTAATTGATGAAAATTGATTTCTTTTAAAATAATTTTATGAACTTCTTAATTTCCTTATCAGTTTAAATACATTACTACATATTTCTATTGTAATTTTAATTGAATAACTGTATGGCAATTATATATATATATTAATAAATAACCATTTATATTAATATTAGCACCAAAGTTCCCTATGTATATGTGTATATATTTATTCCTTTGCTTTGGTTTAAAATTAGCAATTCAAACTTTATTTTATAAAAAAAATCAAAACTTTGCATTTATAACAATATATATGTATATTTAATTCTTACATATTGCTCAGAGACATTGACATTATAATACTTCTCTTTTAATAAAATTTATGAGAATTACTTAAATGCTTATAAAAATGATATAAATATTTTATTTAAAAAACAAAAATTATTAACTAATTGCTGCATATAACAATTTCCTAAACCCTATTAGAAATATACTCCTAATTGGAGTTCGATTTGCATTGTAAATACAAAGGAAGGGAGGTGATGCAAAAACAAATTAATTAGGTTTTAATCTTCTATATTCGTCGATTTTTTTTTTTACTCCAGAATCCTAAACTTTCATCAAAACCTTTATAAGTCTTCTATATAATCATTTATCAGGGCCAATTACCTCGTTCAGCAATCTTATTCATTTGGAATCATTCCAAATGTTAGGCAACCATCTCGGTCGTCCATTACCTGAGAATGTATGCCTCGGTGGACAACTCACATATCTTGGGGCTATTAACAACAATTTGACAGGTCTGATCCCATCAAGTTTAAGAAACTGCAAAAGCTTTTACAGAGTTAGGCTTGAAGGAAAGCAGTTGACAAGAAATATATCAGAAGCTTTTGGTATATATACTAATTTGAATTATATTGCATTAAACAACAACAAATTTTATGGTGGATTTTCGCCAAACTGTGGGCAATGCCATTGTCTAACAAGCCCATGAATCTCCAATAATAACATTTCTGGAAAGATACCACCTGAGCTGAAACATGCAACTCAATTACAAGAACTCGATGTCTCTTCAAATCATCTCATGGGTGAGATTCCCAGGGAATTGGGAGCATTGACATTGATGTTCAATCTTTTGTTAAGTGGTAACCAACTTTCAGCAAAAATTCCACCAGAGATGGAGTTTCTTTCAAACCTACGACATACTTAAACTTGGCAAACAAAAACTTAAGTGGATCAATTCCTTAATCGACTTGGAAAATACTCTAAGTTATGAACCTGAATTTGGGCAAGAATAGACTTTGGAGAAAGCATTCCAATTTCAATAAGCTACATTACGTCTTTGAAAATCTTAGATTTTAAGTCAGAATTTACTTATCGGTAGATACCATAACAGCTTGCCCAAAATACTTAGAAATATTGGAACCTTTCTCACAATATGCTCAATGGTTCCATCACCAATTTTCTTTTAATGGTTTGCAAAGCATTGACTGTTGTGAATATCTCTTACAATCAATTAGAAGGGTCCTATTCCCAACTGTAGACACCATAATTTGCCCGGGCCTAGGCCTATTGGGCCTGGTTTGACAGCAACTATTTCTAAGTCCATTAGGCTTAGCTTAGATCGGGTCTAAATAGGAGCAGAATGGCCCGATTTTAGTTTTTTATTATTATTATTATTTATTTTTGGTTTTCTATTTTTTATTTTATTTTCTTATTTTTGGTTTTTTATTTTTTTCGGTTTCTTGGTCCAAAATTGGGTTTTAATTTCGATTTTCCTTTTAGAAGGTGGAGTGGTAAGATTGAATCTCAGTCAAATAAGGAATAGGAATTGATCAAAAAATCTTTCTGATCAATGCCTATAAATATAGGCTTAAACCGGATCAAACAACACACGAAAAGAAGAAAATAGAGGCAAAAAACTCAAAGGGGTTAGTAGCGATCGTAGAAGCAGTTTAGGATTTTTTTTTTGAATTTTTTTGGTTTTTTTTCTGGAAAATTTTTGAAAATTTTCCAAAATCCGATCAATTTTTCAATGACTTTTTCGACGAAACTTGTATTTTTCAGCAAGTTTTTCCAGATCCGAT